GGGTTGGGTTGTACCCATCCACCTACAAGTCTTGCCAGACCGTATTTACCTTCCAACTCCTCGATGACTACCTGCTGGAAAACCTGGAATGTAAAACATCGGCCACCCACTACTACTCCAAATTGAGAAGGATCACCAACTTTGCATTTCCTAATTCCATTCCGGTATGTTGTTCAAGTACCTCGTATACTCCCATCTCAAAACGTTTGACAGAACCGGTATCACGAGTTAATAAGGGTTGGTAGACAATACCGTAATCTTACCGAACTGGCTACTTTTGGATTTGGACACAAAGGTAAGGCTCCGACGCCGGGGGAGATGGGTTTTTTTTGCCCTACCTGCCCACAACCGGGAGTCAACCTTCCTGATGACTGGAACAAAAACCCCAATGATCCTACTAACTGGAAGTATACCAGAGGATTTGTAGCCGATGGCAATTTCACAGCAGCCCACCAAAAACAGGCACGGCCCAAAGACGATGTTTGGCTTAAAAATGGGGATAGTTTCATGACGCAAAGAGGACCTTATTTGAGCCACCTTCGGGACGCGATTGAAGATAATGATGTAAGTTTTTATCCTTCGAGCGACTCGGCCGGTGTCTGAATCTTTCAGCCGAGGACATGTCATGAGCACAATGCTATCAACAACAAGAATGTATTTCACCGAGGTTTTGACGCTACTGGAATTGGAGCCATTGCTTGCCTTCGACATGGCACCTTTTGTCTGGGTTCGGTGGTAGATTTTCAAAAGGGAGAACGGTATGCAAGTTATCCTCGGGTTGAATCGTTGATTTACCAGATAGGCAAATGAACATGGACTATGCCTTGTGCCAGGCTCTGAAGAATACCATGACCGGTGAAGAAAAAAGGGTTATTTTTGTCTATGACATCAACTGCCAGTATATGGTGAATTTGATGGCTCGGATAAAACGTGGTGCGAAACACCTCTGGATCAGACCAGACTTGTTATTGGTAGCCGGGATCGGCTTATTCCATGTCCATGGCCATCAAGAAATATGCTTTCCACGATTTGCCCCAACATTCATCCCCGGGGCCGGTCAAACAGATGGAGAGATATTGGAGACTTTGTGGGCTGTTCTCAACGAGGTCGGTCGCACCACCCGGACAATGACTTTGGCCCATAGATCGGAGGTGTTGGATGCTCACATGCTGGATAATAACTGGAAAAAAATGATCAATATGGGTATCTATTTTCAACTGCTTTTACATTGCTTCTAAGCTAATAAACGTCAAGTGAGTAGCCTTTGCAAGAAGTGGAAGCGAGCAAAACTCGGGCTCTCTGAGAGCTTCCAGGCTCTTGAAGAATTAAGTGCCTCAGCAAGTAAGGAACAGATTCAAGAATGGGAGCAACAGATCAAAACGGCAAATTTGAATCGGGCAAAGGACCTTTCCGCCATGGACATCTATTACGTCAAGGTCAAGGAAGGTAAGGACCAAGTTTTCCA